CCAAGTTTGAAGATAAAGTGACAAAATTGTAACAACTATAATATTACCTACAATTTAGGGCTTCTTGTTGTTACTGTTACTGTTAACTTCCTTACCTGGCTTAGCTCGTCTAATTCTGACAACAGCATTATGAGCTAGGCACTTTTATTATACCCTTTTTACTGAAGTAACTTCTCAAGAGCTGGTAACTGCAGTAGTTCTAAGGACACATCATTAGAAATTTGGCCACATGGAGACCTGGAGTCCAAGTCCACTGCAAGCTTTCTACCCTTTGTTGGGAGTAAATTATCCTCTGCTTGTGTTCCCAGCAGCCCAGGGACTTGGAGTGGGAGATCTCTTAGGCCTAGGGTTGCCAGACAAGACACAGGACATATAGAATGAAGTCTATCTTGCATGTGACATGCTTATACTAAAAACATGTTTACCTGAAGTTCAAATTTAACTGGGTGCTCTGTATTTTTATTTACTGAATCTGGGAACCCCACTTAGGGAGAAAGAGGGTTTGTGGTGCCTTCTGCTGACCGTTAGCTCTGACAGTCCCAGCTCACCCAGAGGACCGGCCATCCTGTCTTCAGCGGCTGGTTTTCATTACCTGACTCCAGATGGCTAGTTGTTGAACTGGACATGGCCTGACTCAATATAACCATTAATCACCGTAGCATCTCCTCTTCCAAAACTTCAGGAATTCTCAGACTGGGAACACACAACATGAAGCTTCATCCAAAAACATACAATCTTTACCTTCATACCCTTTATAAATAACTTTTTAAAAATGTTTCCTGTCAGGTTACCTCCGTGCACGCTTCCCTCTCCCAGCCTGTAAGTCACCCACCCTCTCTAGCTGTATCTGAAACTGGTCCCCGTAGCTCTCTCTGTGTGTCCAGTATGATCTCTGTGTTACGTGTTCTTTCCCAGATCCTGCTGAGTTTTGATAGAGACCTTGGAGTGTTTTCCAAAGTGACTATGTGGTTATATGCCTTCTGAGTCCGGATATTGGAAGCGCCTTTTTTCTGCCCCGTTCCGTGAATGACCGACTGGTTATAGATTTTGGTTTGAAATCTCTTTCCTTCCGAGGATCATAGAAAAGATGATGAATTATCTCCTAGCATTTGGAGAGACTGAGAAGTCATGTGGCAGCTTGATTCTCATTCCTTTGCAGTAACTGGTTTTATTTTTTCCTTCTTGCAAGTTTTTTTATCCTTGGGTTTCAGGTATTCCACCAGGCGGCGTGTCTGGCTACCTGTCTTTTTTCAGAATGCCCGCCTGGATATTGGATGGATCCTGCTGAGATGGAGACTGACTTGCTCTGGGACATTTTTGGCTATTTCTGTGATTGTTTCCTTCCCTGCACCCTCTTTGTTCCTGCCACCCAGAAATCCCATTAGACCATCAATGCCCCTCCTCCATCGGCCGTGTGTGCTCTGTTACTTTTCTTTCATCATTTCCATTTGCCTGAGTGTTTATTCTGTGTTGCTCATTTTTGTCATCTGGGTCATTTTGTTTTCAAGCCGTCTCTTAAGGGTTTTGGGTTTTTCATAAATCTCCTAGAAGAGAGCATGGTACTTTTACTGACAGGATGACCCAATATTCAGAGGCCACCGGTCTATAGGAGAAAGCCCAACATTTCTCTGGGTCTGACCACTAAACGCCTCTACTGTTCTGGCTTATCAGAGCCCTGAGCCTTATTCATTTATACTGTCTTACTTGCAATTCCCTTAATTTAATGTGTGTTTTTAATGTTTTGCTGCCTTTGCTTTTACTGTTGCCCCACGTTCACATGAAACTCACTGTTGGTGTGCAGTCAAATCTTCATCTCCTCAGTGAAGCATACCCAGAGGAAACAAAGAGGTTTAACCCCCTGTCCCTGGGTGACCTCACTCTACCTTGTACACACATTTTTGCTTGGTTCTCATAATTTATTAGTGCGTGTGTATGTTCATGTGGAAGGTCTCAGCATTCTGTAAACTCCTTAAAAACAGGACCAGTGTCTTATTCACATCAGCATCCTTTACATCTAGAACCCCTCTAAGCATGTAGGGGAACTCTAATTGTTTTATGAATTAACAACTAAAGATAGAGGCAGAGTATTTCTGTTACAATTTCTGTTTCTCCAGCAGAGTACAAGCATACTCATTTTATTGGACTTTGCTCTATTGAGTTTTGCAAATACTGCTTTTTTTTTTTTTAACAAATCGAAGGTTTGTGGCTACCCTGCATCCAGCAAGTCTGTCGGTGCCATTTGTCCAACAGCGTTTGCTCACTTCATGTCTCGGTGTCAGACTTTGGTAATTCTCACGATATTTCAAGCTTTTTCATTATTGTATTTTTTGTGGCGATCGGTGATCTTTGATGTTACTGTTACAATTGTTTTGGGGGTGCCACGAACTGCACCCATGTAAGATGGCAAACTTAACCCATAAATGTCATGTGTGATCTGACTGCTCCACCAACTGGCTGTTCCCCCATCTCTCTCCCTCTCCTTGGACCCCCCTCCCATTCCCTGACACACAACACCATTGAAATTAAGCCACTTAATAATACTACAGTGGCTTCTAAGGGTTCAAGTGAAAAGAAAAGTTGCACATTTCTCATTTTAAATAAAAAACTAGAAATGATGAAAGCCAGTGAGGAAGATCTAGCAAAAGCTGGGACAGGCTGAAAGCTGGGCCTCTTGCACCACATAATTAGCCAAGTTGTGAGTGTAAAGGAAGAGTTCTTGAAGGAAATTAAATGTGCTGCTCCAGCGAGCACACAAATGATAAGAAAGAAAAAAACATCCGTATTGCTGATACAGAGAAGGCGTTAGTGGGTCTGGGTAGAGGATCAAACCAGCCACCACACTCCCTCAAACCAAAGCTTCATCTAGAGAAAGGCCCTAACTCTCTTCAATTCTCTGAAGGCTGAGAGAGGTGAGGAAGCTGCAGGAAAAAAGTTTGAAGCTGGCAGAGGTTGGTTCATGAGGTTTAAGGAAAGATGCTGTCTCCATTCCATCAAAGTGCAAGGAATGTAGAAGCTGCAGCAGGTTATCCAGCTACGATAGTTAACGCAGGTGACCACACTAAGCAGATTTTTAGTGTAGATTAAACAGCCTTGTATTGGAAGAGGGTGCCTTCCAGGACTCTCATAGCTAGAGAGAAGTCAGTGCCTGGCTTCAAAGATTCAAAGGACAGACTGACTCTCTTGATAGGAGCTAATGGAGCTGGTGACTTGAAGTTGAAGCCAGTGCTCATTTACTGTTTCAAAAATCCTAGGGTCCTTAAGAATGATGCTAAGTCTACTCTGGCTGTGCTCTGTCAGTGGAACAATAAAACCTGAATGACAGCACATCTGCTTACCACGTGGTTTCCTGAATATTTTAAGCCGACTGTTGAGACCCACTGCTCAGAAAAAGAAAAAAATTCCTTTCAAAATATTGCTGCTCGTTGACAATGCACCTGGTCACCCAGGAGCTCAGATGGAGATGGACAAGATTCCTGTCATTTTCGTGCCTTTAACACAGCATCCATCCTGCAGCCTGTGGATCAAGCAGTAATTCTGACTTTCAAGTCTTATTTTTTAAGCAACACCTTTCATAAGGCTACAGCTGCCACAGATAGGCATTCCTGTGATGGATCTGGGTGAAGTAAATTGAAAATCTTCTGAAAAGGAGTCACCATTCTAGATGCCATGAAGGCCATTTGTGATTCACAGGAAGAAGTCAAAATATCAACATTCACAAGAGTTTAGGAGAAGTTGATTCCCACCTTCATGGATGACTTGGAGGGGTTTAAGACTTCCATAGAGGCAGTAGGTGCAGATGTGGTAGAGATAGCAAGAGAACTAAAATTAGAAGTGGAGCCTGAAGATGTGACTGAATTGCTGCAATCTCATGAGAAAACTGTCACAGATGAGGAGCTACTTCTCACAGATGAGCAAAGAAAGTGTTTCCTTGATATGGACTCTCCTTCTGGTGAAGATGCTGTAAAGATTGCTGACGTGACAACGAAGGATTTGGAATATGACACAAACTTAGTTGCTAAAGCAGCAGTAGGATTTGGGAAGATTGACTCCAGTTTTGAAAGAAGTCCTACTGTGGGTAAAATGCTATCAAACAACATTGCACGCTAACAGAGATATCATTCATGAAAGGAAAAACAATCAATGTGGTAAAATTTATTGTTGTCTTATTTTAAGAAATTTCCACCCCCTCAACCTTTATCAACCATCACTATGATTAGTTAGCAGCCATCAACATTGAGGCAAGACCCTCCACCAGCAAAAAGATTACAACTTGCTGAAGTTTAGCATTTTTTTAGCAATAAAGTATTTTTAAAATCAAGTCATGTAACATTGTTTTTTTAGACCTAATGCTATTGCACACTTTCTAGACTACAATATAGCATAAATGTAACTTTTATATGCACTAGGAAACCAAAAAATTTACGTGACTCACTTAATTGCGGTAGTCTAGAACCAGACCTGCAATATCTCCAAGGTATGTCTGTGTAACATGAAGGAAGATACGCGGTAGACAACCTTTATAACATTTTCTGGTAAACTCCCTATAGCGAACACCGTAGCATCAGTACCCATTCTTTTTTCCCACGCAGTCTGGTCTTGAGCACTGCAGACTGAGCAGCCTTGGGCTGTTACAGGGATGGGTGTTGTTTGAGGATGTATCTGTGGACTTCACCCAGAAGGAGTGGCAGCTGCTGGACCCTGCGCAGAGGCTCCTGTACAGGGATGTGATGCTGGACAACTGCCAGTATCTGGTGTCCCTGCGTAAGCACCACTTCCCATGCAACTCCCAACAGCATGCATGCATTTTTGCATCTTAGGAACCAAGTCACTGTAGCGTGTTGTGAGTTTTAGGCTTGAGATTTTGGATTCAAAGGCCTTTGAGGGAACTGAAAGGATATTGTATTCTCACCTCCCTCATGAAAGGGTCTTCTTTGATGAGGGTGATGGGGCCCCCATCATTGTGCAGCTTCTAAAGCACCTCTCTTCTGATTCTTCAAAGGACTTGAACCCCAAGCAGCTTTGTCAAGTCCCATGTCATGTCTCACAACAGGTCACTGTGTTACCAAACCTGAGCTGATATTGAAGTTGGAGCAAGGAGAGGAACTGTGGACATTAGAAGGAAAACTCCCAAGTTCGAGCCACCCAAGTGAGTTAATGAGGTTAGACAGAAGGCAGCCGGTGCAAAGTGGATCCAAAGTGGCTGGTTCAGGGGTTGGTATCTTTAAAATGTGTTTTAGGAATCTCTTTTAGAGGCTCCAGACTTTGAGAAGTGACCAAAGACAGGTGACTACCACACCTTAGGATATCAAACCTCCAAATATCACTCTTATATGCAAATGTTCTATGTTTTCTGTTTGACTTCTATAGAGAGAGATTTGCTTGGTTTTTATAGAATCCAATTGCTGCTTTCCTCATCTTAGACCTTTATTTCTCTGGTTTTCTCTCTGTTCAATAATGGCTGTCCTTTACCTTCCCTCCTGTGCTGAACCCTCTATAAATATGCAATTACTGATGCGTTATTTTATACAGTAAATGTTTTCTAAGCACCTGCTATCTGCCAGTCATGTTCTAAGCACAGGAGACACAAAAGCAAAGTCTCTGCTCCTATTAACAGATCCAAATGGCAAATAAATATGTAACATTTCTGGTAGTAGTCAGCCTTCTGAACAATTAAAGTCAGAGGAAGGGAATAGAGACTGCCAGGGAGGTCTGTTTTGGGAAGAATACTCAGGAAAAGGGCTCATTGAGTAGAAATAGTGGCATGGAGTCTTGAATGAAGGGATGGGGTGAGCCATGGGGTGCCTGAGCGATTCCAGATCCAGGAGACAGTAGGTGCCGAGTCTCTGAGACAGGAGTGTGCTTGGTGTAATCAGGGAGCAGCAGGGAAGTCTGTGGGATGAGAGGGGATTCAGTGAGGAGAAAGGAACTGATGATGCCAGAGAGTTCACTCAAGGCAAAGCCTTATAGCCCTAGTAGGACTGAATTCTACTCTGGATCCCACTGCAAGCATGGCTTAACCTCTCCTATACTTTGACACTCTCTTGGACATTGTTTTCCCATACCACAACTATATGAAGAGATGGGGCCTGATCTATGGGGCTGACATTTAGATCAGAGGAAGTTAGTGATTTCATAAATGTAATTGGGAGTTTGTATACAGAATGGAAAAGAGGACGAAGAGATTGGAAGCATATGGAGTGTGGTCAGGAACTCACTGCAGTAATTAAGCTCTGGGGGTAGAGGAGGATAAAGTTCTAAGTCTCTGATCTGCCTCCAAACCTAAACTTTGCTCTGACCCTTCCCTGGATCACCCTTCAGTCTTCCTTGTCTCCTACTCAGTGTCCCTTATCTTTGCCCCATTCTTCAGCTTTCTCTCTCTTTTTCTACCACGATATGTGTTTTTGTTCTGATTTTCATGTATCAAACCAGAAGAGGAGGATGAATGTTTGCTTAGGAGTTCTTTCATCCTAGAAGCCTATTTGAAACCTAAGAATCAATTCAACTTGGGGCACTTGTGTACAAACCTATTCCTTAATGAATGTGTCAAGATTTATCATGTATATTAATTTTTCATATTTCTAGAAGTCCAGGGAACCAGTAACATGAAATAGATAAGCCAAGAACATGAGGACCAGTATTTGAGGCAAACTTTATTCATCAACAACAAAACATTGACTAAGGAGAGAAGTAAGACCTTCAGAGAAACGTTTATTTTGGTCACAAACTCAGGGCCCTCAAGAAAAATATCCCACAAAGGTGACTCATCTGTAACAAACTTGAAAAATGTTTCTGAATTGACTATTAATAATAGGAGCCATGTGAGAAAGAACACTGATGATTTCAGTGGATGTGGATTCCTTGATATTATACATGAGAAAGTTCATACGAGGAACAAGTCCTGTGAAAGTGATCAAAAGAAGAAATCCCACAGACAATTGAGGAGTTTATTCAACATCAGAATTCAGCTTTGGAGCAACTTCTTGAATGTAATAATGGTAGGAAAGCCTTTCACAGAAAGACAGCCTTTGTTATATGTAAGAGAGCTCACACAGGAGAGGAACCCTCTCAAAGTAACAAATGTAGACGAGCCTTCCTCTAAAAGTTAAAGCTCAGTGCTTGTCCAAGAGCCCTTAGGGGAAAGGAAGCCACACAAATCCAGTAAAAATGGGAAATCCTCATGCATGAATTCAAAACATGTACATCAGAGAGCTCACCGTGAATGCTGTAAATTGGGGAAATCCTTTAGCAAGAAGTCAAACTGTAGTCAGCATCAGAGACTGCACACAGGAGGGAAACCAGAGGAGTATAACCAAAGTGAGGGAGCCTTGCAGAAGTCACCCTGCATGCAAAGTGGGCAGACCCGCACAGGAGAGAAAATTCATGACTGCAACAAATGTGGGAAATCCTTCCCTGAAAACTCATGCCTGACCCAACATCAGGGAATTCACACAGTGGAAGACCCCAGAGAGTGCAATGATAGTGAGGGGGCCGTAAAGAAGGAGTCCCACCCGACTCTAAATCAGAGCATTAACATGAGCGAGAAAAGCTTTAAAGGTAGTAAGTGTGAGAAATCCTCCCACGAGAAGTTGAAACTCACTCAGCATCAGAGAACGCAGTCGGGGGAACAAGATGATGAGTCTTGTGAGAGTGGGAGGGTCTTCACTGAGAAGTCACACCTCCCTCGGTATCAGAGAGTTCACAGTGGGAAGAAAACCTACAACTGTAATAAATGCGCGGAACGCTTCCATGAGAAACGACCTCGCTCGACATCAGAGCGCGCACACAGGGAAGAAGCCCTACGAAGGTAGTGAATGTGGAAGGTCCTTCATTGTGAAGTCCATCCTCACTGAACACCAGAGAACTCACGCAGGAGGAAAGCCCTATGAATGTAGTGAGTGTGGCAAGTCCTTCTGCCAAAAGTCAGCCCTCACGGTACATCAGAGAACTCACACGGGAGAGAAGCCGTATAAATGTAGCGAATGTAGGAAGACCTTCTGTGTGAAGTCAAACCTTACTCAGCATCAAAGGACCCACACAGGAGACAAACCCTATAAATGTGATGAGCGCTGGAGGTGTTTCTGTGTGAAATCCAACCTTGTCCATCAGAGAACTCACACAGGAGAGAAACCCTACCAATGTCCCAAATGTGAGAAAACCTTCTATGAAAAGTCAGCCCTCACAAAACATCGGAGAATTCACACAGGGGAAAAACCCTATGAATGTCATGAATGTAGAAAAACCTTCAGCCAGAGCTCAGCCCTCACCAAACTTCAAAGGGAAACGCACGCGAAGAAAACCCACATCGGCACGCTCCACGTGCAGAAGCCATCGTCTCCCAGTCGTGCCCTGTAAACAGCAGTGAAATCGCAGGGCCAAGCCGCTAAGTGTCAACGCACGTGGGGAAGTCTTTATTAGTAGGGTGTAGCTAACTGCGATTAGAGAAGCAACATCGGAGTGAGACTCTATAAATGCTTTGATCGTGTGAAAGCCTTCAAGAAGTGTTCAGAGATGTGGAAGGGAAAGGTATTCTTTTAAGGATGTAGATAAAAATCTTGTGTAAAGAGAAATCGCATTTCAGATGTGATACCAAACTTATCACAAGATAATAAAATATTCTGTCCTGAAGAGAATGTGAAATGTGGATCTTTTGTCAAACAGGGTGAGTCATTGGCACACCACCATTAAATATGTATGTGAAGCCTTGTGGGGGTGTCTGGGCTATGGATAGGCATGTAGCACATGAGTGTGCTGTATAACATGAACTCCATGTATGTCAGATTTACACAGGGAAACCACTCTGTCTCTAAATCTCAGCAAGACAGTAAACATTCTTTTAATTGAAGTATATGCAACTGATAACATCGTATTTCTGGTACAGCATAGTGATTCAGGTATAGATAAATATATTTCTTTAATATTCTTTTCCATTATGGGTTATTACAAAATAGTTTCCTGTGCTTTACAGTAGGACCTTGTTCTTTATCTATTTTATGTATAGTAGTGTCTGCAAATCCAGAACTCCCAATTTATCCTCCCCCCGACTTTCCCTCTTGGTAACCATAAGTTTGTTTTCTATGTCTGTGAGTCTCTTTCTGTTTTGTAAATAAGTTCATTTTTTTCATTTTTTAGATGCCACATATAAGTGATATCTATGGTATTTGTCTTTCTCTTTCTGACTTACTTCACTTAGTATGATCATCTCTAGCTCCATCCATGTTGCTGCAAATGACATTATTTCACTCTTTTTATGGCTGAGTAGTATTCCATTGTGTGTGTGTGTGTGTGTATATATATATATATATACTACATCTTCTTTATCCAGTCATCTGTCAATGGAAATTTAGGTTGCTTCCATGTCTTGGCTATTGTAAATAATGCTGCTATGAACATTGGGGTGTACGTAACTTTTCAAATTAGAGTGCCCTCCTGATATGTGCCCAGGAGTGGGATTGCTGGATCATATGGTAAGCCTATTTTTAGTTTTGTAAGGAACTCTATACTGTTTTCCATAGTGGTTGCACCAAACAGTATACATTCAAAGTGAAAATTAAACAGTAACATAACCTGCACCTCAACAGTTGTACCTCAAGATACATACCCTAAAATGAGAGTTCCCAGTTGGGCATTCTAAAGGGCTTTGGAAATACTGGGATGATTTGGTTGTCACTGTGATTGAGGGTGCTAGAGGCGTTTAGCATGTGAGATGGCCAAAGAGACCCAGTATCCTGCACTGTGTCCGTGAGAGGACAGGAGGAAGGGGCTCCTCCAGGATGCCAGTCGCTCCATCACAGAAGAACACCGCCCTCGAGAAACACCCGCACCCACAGACATGTACAAGGAGGGTCATTGCAACATTGCAAGTTTTTGTAATGACAGTTGAGAAAAAAGAGAAAGTAACAAATGTCCATTGACAGTGGACCAGATAAATAAATGTTGGTGTGGTTATACAGTGGGGATAATATACACCAGTGAAAATGAACCTCAGATAAGCACATTAAGATTATTATCTTAAATAATGTTGAGCGAAAAAGGAAAAATACAAATACCATGCTATTGCATGTATATAAAACTCAAAAACAGAATTTGGCATACATTGTTTAAGGATACATACATAGGCAGTAAAAGTACGAAGGAAAGCCAGTGGGTGATTAACACAAAATCTAAGATAGTAATTCCATCTGTGAAGGAAGAAGAGGCTTACATTTAGGGGGAAAGAGAGAGAGGAAGTCTTGTGTTTTTTAGATGGGTCATGAGTGTACAAGTATTCCTTATTATTTTTGCATTATATATATGCATATATAAACATGCATTTCTGTTTATAAAATATTCAAGAAACAGGTTGAAATACTTGCATTATAATGTTAGCAAAAGTAGTGTTTTGGTGTAAAAATTAAGTTTTTTTTCTTTCATCTGTTCTTCTGTATCCAAAACCTCTGTAATGACTTTTTCAGGTATCCACACCACTAGTCATTTGGGCCTAGCCTTCTTGATTTTCATGATTGTATTTTCCCCTTTGTTTCCTAGTAAAAATGTCTCCTAATTTAAGAAAGAAATAATAAAGGGAACATTGATGAAGATATAAAAAGTAAAGAAAGTGAAAAAGAAACAAAATCAAAGTACAGTAAACATAAATAAAAATGAAAAAATAATCAAAATTATTGCAGATTGTGAACAGGTTGAATTCACACATCAGAGAAGAGGTAGATTAATGGTTGGTTAAAAAACTAAATCCAACTATGTGTGGTTTGCAAAAAAAAAAAGGATCTACAACCAGGTGACAAAGGAAATTTGAAAGATAAGGATTGGGCAAAAGTATATATATATATATTTTTTTAATCCACTAAAGTGTAAGCTTCTGCCCCAGCTCCATGTCTGAGGCCCTTCTGCCGCTTCCCAGATATTAGTAAGAAGTCTCATTTCAGTGTGTGTCCTCTCGTTAGGTTTTTATTTCTGGAGTCTCCTAACACACGAGATCTGGTGTATTCATGTGGCATCAGTATCTGGGGTCTAAGCACAAATTTACTTTAGATGGAACTTTCACCCAAGTAACCAATATCTGTTTGATGGTACCTGCCTGCCCCTGAAATCTCAAAGCTAGCTTCTGGCAAACTCCAACCAGCGCCGCTAAGAACAGCAACAACAACAACAAAAAGGCTGGAGAGACCATGAGCCATTCTGAAGATGCAGGAATGCAGTTTGGCCTCAAACTCCAAAGAAACACCAAGATACCCAGGAGTATAAGGCAGGAATCAATTGTAATTCAACATTGATTTCCTGAGGTCAGTTAAGGGCATGTCATCAGGCTGAGTGCTCTGAAGAATTCAAAGATGGTTACTAAAATGTACTTCTGGAGTTTAGGCGGTGTGGCATGTTGGAAAAGCCTCTAAAAAGACTAATAGAAAGATAAGACATAAATTGCTAATATCAGTTATGAAATGGAGCATATCACGACAGACCCTGAAGACATCAAAATGATAATAGGAGGATCTGTGAACAACTTTATATGCAGAAATTTGACAATTTAGGTTAAATAGACCAATTTCTCCAAAAATACAAACCATTACAACTCATCCAATATGAAATAGAATTAAAGAAATTTAATTTACAGTTTTAAAACCCCTAAAAAGGAAATCTCCAGGCCCAGATGGTCTCACTAGAGAATTCTACCAAATGTTTAAAGCAGAAATAATACCAGTTCTACACACTTTGTTCTAGAAAATCAAGAGGAGAAAACACTTTCCTGTTAAACTTATGAAGTAAGTATTCACTGATACCGGCTCCCCCCAAAATTTTAAATAGGGTACAAAAAAAAGGAAAAATACAGACCAGTATTCCTTGTGAAAATTAGATGTGCAAATCCTTAACAAAATATCAGCGAATAGAAGTATGTATTAATTATATGAAAAGACATATGAATATATGAAAAGAATTTTATACCATGGAGTTTATTACAGGGATGCAATCTACCATATTAACAAACTAAAAAAGAAATAGCCCATTATATAAACCAATGAATAAAAAGTATTTGACAAAAATGTATTTGAAATTTACAACAAAACTCTCAGAAAAATAGAAATAGAGGGGAATTTGATAAAGAGCATCTATAAAAAACTATAGCTAACATTGTACGTAATGGCGAAAGACTGGACGCTCCCCCCCCACCCCCGGAATCAGGAACAAGACAATGATAACTGCTTTCACCACTCTTATTCAACATTGTGCTGGAAGTTCTAGCCACTGCAATAGGGGAAGGAAAGGAAATAAAAAGCATACAGATCAGAAAAGAATAAAAGTGTCCTTGTTTACAATGACATGATTGTCCAAGTAGAAAATCCCAAGGAATCTGCAAAACAAAAAAAAAAATCGAAACCAGAAAAACCTAGAACTAATAAGTAACTTCAATAGGGTCATAGGATACAAGGTAAACATACCAAATTCAATTGTATTTCTATATGCCAGCAATGAACACAAGGGCACCAAAATTTAAAATATAATATCATTTTTAATTGCTCAAAAACTTATATAGTTAGGTGTAAACCTAACGAAATATATCAAACCTGCATGCCAAGAACTACAAAATGCTGATTGAAGAGGATCTTTAAAAGTGGGTAAACAGACCTTGTTCATGGATTGGAAAACCCAGCACAGTAAAGATGCCAATTCTCCCTGTATTGATATAAAGGTTTAATGCAGTTCCTATCAAAATCCCAACAAGAATGTTTTTGTAGATATAAGCAAGATTATTCTAAACTTTAAATGGAAAGAGAAAGGAACTATAGTAGCTAA